CACACTGCGAGGTGTCACACTGCGATGGCCTCAGGTGGACCATTGGCCCCCAGGGAGGAAACTGATCTTTGTTCCTTTGTTGAAGGAAATTACATTAAATATGTTTTTTTTACAGTCACTGTTGAGGACAAACTGCAGGGTTTTTCCTCAAAGGGAGGTGCTCAGGGAGGAGACAAGAAGGGCTCCTTCTCTTATGCTCCCTCTGCAGACCCCTCTGGCTGCAGAGCCCGGTTCGTATGCGAAGCTCAGGGATGGAGGTTGGGCGTGGTGTGTTTGTCATCTTCTCTACTTACTTCTCACTCCATTACCCACCCTTTGTCCTTCTGGGCGCCTCGACAGATAACCTTTTAGTAATAATCTGAAATTCAAATACAAAGAATTGACTCCTGAACTGCCCTAATATTTGAGAAAGGTTTTAAAATAAAATAGGTTTTTCTGTGTCCCATTATTGGCCTGGCAGCTGCGTGTGTATGCTAGGTGTACTGAGAAAGGTAATATTAACAGAATGAAAAGGTCACAGTTATATAAAAATCCTTTTAAATCTAAATAGGCCTGCTGTACTGAATTCCCCACAGAAACACAGAGGTTAAGAGTTGAGAACATCTGGGCCTTGGGCAAGTCAAGTTGTGCATCTGTAAATGTTTATTTGCTTAAAGCTTATGGTTTAGGTCTTGCTGTAGAGTTTTTTGGCAGAAGAATATAGGCGGAGAAAATGTTTGTATCCAACTTCTCACCAGCTTGACAGGTAAAAACACTGAATTATAACACACTCAAAGGGGATGATTTGTAGCAATTTAATGCATTGTCTGCACGCGTCAGTGCATGGCATCACTGTAACACAGGTTGGCAGGAATGGTAAGCAGAGAGGTGGTTTGTGTGCTTGGGAAAGCAGGTGATACCTGAAAAGCTCTCTGAAATGTACCCTGTGCCACACACCATGTGTTTCTCTATCGCAGAGAAGAGTTTTCAATCCAGCCAACCATCTCCATTTCAGACTCCGTACCACCAGCACAGCGCACGCCATGGGGCCCAGCACTTGTCTCCTGGCACTGGGCAGCCGTCACGGCGTCAGCTGCTGTGCCTGTCCCGTGCAGCACCCTCAGGCTCCGAGTCCCCTGGCTCCGTTGGTCCAAACACCTGGCAGTGGGGCTCAGCATTTGGGGTGCGCTGTCCTCGCATCTCCTCCAGCCCCAGGCCACCATGCTGCTGGCTTTTCCCATAGCAGGGCGCTTGACTTCCTACAGGGTTGATTGCATGGAGCGAGGCGGCTCTGGCTGGCACGGTGTCCCACTTCCCCGTGCTCATTCTTCCCTCCTGCCGCTCTCACAGCCTTTCTCAAGGGCATTTTTGTTCCTGGCAAATTGGACGTTTGGGAAAGCGTCTCAGTGTGGCCTGTGCACAATGCAAAGGCCCAGCTCCGTGCTGCCTCGCTAGGCTATTGTGAACGCCCGTGCTGTCATTTTCTGTTCCTTTCCCGCTGATAAGTGAGTGAGTGTCCCCATGAAGATGCATTCAAAACTTTCCCAAGTGGTTTTTGGGGTTTTTTTTCCACATGTAGTACAACCTCACTGACCTGTTTCTGTGCCATTTCCCAAGACCTCACAAATGCATGGCCCCAGGGACAACCCAGGCCAGGCGACATGGCCCTTACCTGGGGTGAGCCGTGCACCCCGCCAGCACGGTGCCTGGCCCGCCCCACAGCACAGCACAGCGCAGCACAGCGCAGCACAGGCAGCCCTTGCAACCCTGCAGCAGAACACCTGCAGCAGAAATGCGAGAGCTCACCCGCTCTCGAAAGCTTTGTTTTTAAACACTGAAGCACACTTTGGGCGCCTCACTGCGTCTGAGGGGGGAACATATTTGACCATTTAGCACCACCAGTGCTAACCAGTATTAGCAGGTGAAAAATCAGTTTTGTTTCGGCTGTGCTGGCAGGTGGGTCTGTAGTTGTACAGTGCTGCGCTGATGGCTGCCACGGTGCTGTCAGGATGCACTGGGTGCCCACGGTTTGGGCAACTGGATCTGGAGAGGAGAGGTGGGACTGGCTGTGCCCCTGAGGACTACAGCTCCACTCGAATGGCCCGTTCCTGCACAGGCAGTGTCAGCCCTGGTCAGGCAGTTTCTCTGTAGCTGTGTACATGGAAAGAGCTCCCAGTGAGCTCCCTACCTCGCTGAAGAGCAGGATTGAAGGGCAAGGCACACAATGGGAGGAAATATATATATATAAATATATATACACGCACACATATATGTACCTGTCAGGCGCTGCCTCCACAGAGATCAGAAGTCCCTGCTTTTGTACAGGATGAACAGCGCAAGGCAGCCACACGTTAACCCCAAACCTGACACCGTTGCTTTGTTCTGCCTGCCTAAATGCTCCCTGAAGCCTTAATTAGTATTTCTGCTCTAATCCGCTTGCTAGAGTCAATGTGCAGTGTTAAGTACCTCTGTGTTCAACCAAAAGATTGGCTGCAAAACAGTGCAGGCTAAATGATCCCTTTCCCACCTCGCAGAGAGGTTTTGTGAGGTTTACTCCATCATTGTCAGATCCCCAGAGGAAAGCAAGTGTAGAAAAGGGAAGTATTAATGTCACGACTGTAATTGTCTGTCAGTGTCACAACATTAATTAAAAGCAAACAATTCAAATGTCAGATCTCACGTACAAATATGCTTAAGTATTTTCTTTATAGTTTACAAGAGGAAGTAATTCCCCTAGGCATGCCAACAGAGATTTTTGCCTTTTCACTGGTGTCTCTGCTCAGGCCTGGCTGGTTTCTGTGCCAGAGCCTGGCTGCGGCTGGGGATGGTGGTTTGGGTTTGCAGAGGACAAGGTGCCACGAGCTGCCCTTGATGGGGTCCTGCTGCGTGCTGTGGAGATTGCCTTCTTGTCACCCCTGTCCTCCCTCCCGTTCCCACATTTTGGGAGACTCTCCAGAGAATTTGTAGTGTAGGTCCTGCTCCCTGCTTTTAAGGGGAACACCACAGCAAACATATGCCAAGCTGAAGCTGCTTTAATCTGCACAGCAGCTGTGAATGTCCTTGCTCAGGCTACGCCCCAGCAGAGGCTGTGGAAAAGCCTGTGCTTCTGCACAGAAGGAAAATCCCCAGTGTCTGGAAGAGCTGACGACTAGGGAAGAAGTACTAGGTGAGAACCATTACCATATTAATTGTTCTATTAAATCTTTTTGTTTGTTTGTTTTCAGGTCTGGTCCTCAGAAGAGCTACCCCCTTCACCCAGCTGAGTGAATTTCTGCCTGTCAAAAGGAGCCATTTACCCCAAGGAAAAAGTTACGCTTTTGGGCCATACCCACGTATGTATAAGCTCTGACACAGAAATGTGTCTAAAGATTATGGGGCAGTTAGGACCCACTATCCCTTAAACCTTTCAAGAGATTACCGGCAGGAGAGTTAAATCCATCTTCCAATTAAAACTGAACAGAGCCCACTGCCAAGTAGCCAATATCTGCTCAAAGGCTGCAGCAGAACGAAACCCCACGGAGTCCCAGGCGAGGGCAGGGTGGGAGCTCGCACTGCGCACACCTGACCCGGGACACGGGCTGCGACTGTGGGGCGATTTCACATCATGCCCAGCAGCTTTCAGGTGACTTGTCAGAACCTTTTAGTATTTTGCCTCTTGGCAGCACCAACAATGACACAAGTTACTGGTTCACAGCATCCCTTGCAGGTGCAGGACAGTGAAAAGGGAAAATAAACAAAAGTATTAACAATGGCTGTGAAAATTTAACTTTTATTATCTGTTCACTGTATACAAAACACCATTCTGCATAGTGATAACTCATTTGTTGTACAGTTGACAGTGCACATCAACAAACAAGTGTTCAAGAGGTATACACTTAATGGGAAGGGCAGTGATGGCCAGTGTACATCACACACTAAGATCCTGCGACGCCAGCTGTGTGTTTTAGGGTGGAGAAGTACCTCATAACCACTCAATATGCGAGTAATAGAAATGGGGTAACGAGCATTTACTAATGAACCAAATTAAGAATAAGGATGAAGAGAGAAAGCGGAACTGATGTATCCAACACACAATCTCCGGAGTGCTTAATAAGGTTTTACAGAGGTGGATCCATATTTTTTTCAAACACTTCCATTTTTAAAACTGTTAAAATTTAATGATAAATAACAGAATCTCACAAATCTTCAGGGGCAAAATGCTCCACATTTATTTACATATGAAATGTGTTTAATACAGTTGTAATGGACATAGTGTATAGTAACATCTGACAGCAGCAAGACTTTTAAGGAACCAAACGATTACTACTGTATATCATGCAGCTATCTATATATACACGATTTGTTTTAAAAAAAAGTACAAAAATTTTTTTTAGGGATACATACAAGGTATAAAATGCAAAAACAAACCAAAAATATAACTCTCACAGAGAACTATATACGAAAGGGACAGCACGGTACCTTGTTGTACTTTGTGGCAGCAGACGCCTGCTGGAAGCAGCAGAGCTCGCTCCATGTGCTCTGTGCTGGAGCCGAGAGCCCCACTGTGCCTGCCTGGGCTGGCGTGAGCTGGGACAGCTGCGCTGAACTGACACTGAGCACCAGAAAGTTTGGCATGAGCCTACGGAGCTGGGCAACACCAAGCCCTGTAGCGAGGGTTAACTATTTTCTTTCAGTAACCAGGAATTACGGAAAATACATAATGCTGTGTACTGGCTTCTATATAATGTTTAATAAATTACATGACAAAAAACATCATCATTATAAACCTATTCCTCTAATTACATCTTATTTGTTAAATCCAGAGCAGCCCAGCCCTTTTGTAACAGTCTGGGCTTTGATCACAAGCACCTGATGGCCTAAAAAATCACTTCATGATACACAGAGTTGTGCAATTACACTTTTGAAAAGTACTTTTATCATTCCAGGGAGTCTGCACCTGTTTAGGTTGCCGCCTAAGACCAGCACTGCATTTTACATATGCAGTGGTACTTTTTCTTCTTCTTCTTTAAGAAAGAAAGAGAAAGTTTAAAAGCTTCCTTAATCATGTAGAAGCTGAAGGTCACAGAATTTAAAGTCGTCCCGTAGCTTGCTTCCCATCCCCACTGCCCCCCAAGCACTGCCTTCTGATGCTGTTCTGTCAGCTAAACTTTCTCTGGGAGGCATTCAAACAAGAAACAGTTGAACCCAAGGGACTGCCCCAGCATTCAGAACTCTGTTTTAAAGAAACTTACTAGAAAAAAAAAACAGAAACAAAACAGAAAAACCCAATTTTTCCACTAGATACCGATACAAACACATAACAAAGAGTATAAAAGTTATTAGTTTAAATATATACAAATTCTTTTCAACTCAAATACTGCTTCAATGGTTTTGAGGGTATAGACAATGAGGTGAAGGGGACACCTTTATGCAGAATATATTGCAACAGCCTGAACAGTACTGCTAACACTATTATACCTTGAACTTTCTGTAGCAAAAATGTCATTAGTATTCCAATGTGGAGAGAGATTTCTGCGTCCCAAACCATCCCATCACTTGTCAGCTGAACTCATTCTTTTTGACTTAATGAAGGCCATGCCATGTGTTCGCATGTGAGTGTTTAAGGCCGCTTCAGTTTCGAAAGTCTTTGCGCACACTTTGCATCTCCGGTCTGATGCCGAACTGTCAGAGAATTCATCCTCGGCACTCGGTTTGTTTTCTTGCTGATTATCCTCCCCAGACCCATTTTGTTTCGATACCGGCTGAGGCTCCTTCAGCTTATGTACGATGAAGAGATGCCTGGAGAGGGACACGTGAGACGTGTAGCAGAGTCCGCATTCCCTGCACTGGTAGGAGGAGCCATCAGATTTGTGCTGAGGAATATGTTCGTGAAACTGGAGAAGATTTTCTGTTGTGAAGCCACAAACAGCGCACTTGTGAACTTTAAAAACATTGATCTTTAGCTTCTTCAGTGGCTGAGTGATCGCACCTCGTGGAGGCCTGAATTCCAGTACAGGCTCTTCTAATTTACGCTTTGGACTAGGAACCTAAAAAAAGCCACAGATGGTGTGTCATGTAAGCACAAATACACTGTTCTTTTCACAGCTATCTGTGACTTGCAAACTTCAATGTCTTTCCCTTGGTAGATTCCAGTACAACTGTGATAAATACAGTACTTGAAATAGTACGAGCAAATCTATGTCGTACATGTTGGAAAACCAGGGCTTTTCTTTATTATAAATTGCACATAAAATGTTCTGTCAGCTCTAATAGAGCCACAGTATCTAATACACTGCATAAACTTGAATAAATATTTGCCAGCACAACTGCACATCCCCTGGTGAGACTTGAGTTGTGCACAGAACGTAGAAAATCAGCCTAGGAACTTTTCAGCACTGCCTTCCGGAGCTCCACTTTAATTACCTGGTATTGTTTCATGCCTGAAATTTGACTTGAGGGATTATCTCCTGATTGTTAGTATTTCAGATTGAATGCAGTTTCACTGTAAGACTTGAATCAAATAAGCTTGGGGCTGGGTATCTGGAAGAAGCTCACACTGCTTCTACGCAACCTGTAGCTTTTCTACAGCTATGAGAGGACTTGGGTGCAGAGATCTGAAAGGTGCTCTGCGAGCAAACCACTAAGGACTACGCTGCATCCTCCATCATTCAGCGATCAAATGGAAAGTCTTTCCAAAAACCTGTTCTAGTTCAAGCATGACAGAATTTGTTGCAGGAACCTTTGCGACATTTTTTGGGCTTCGCAGAAGACCAGACTTTTATGGGATCAAAATACCTGCATCTATTTAAAGATCTGGAATGTGCAACCAGAAAAAAAAATCACTCTCGGTGACTGGATGACTCTTCTAAGTGATTACCTTTGTGTCTTCTTTTACTTCCCTTTCTTCCATATTGGTAGATTCAGTCATTTCTTTCACATCAGGGTCTTTAATGCCATGCATCAACTGGATATGTTTTTCCAGCATCAACCGCTTGGTAAAAGTACGTCTTGAATCTGGGCAGTGCCTACGGAAACACAAAGCGGACGTGCAGAGACTCAGATGTCATGCTTAACAAAAGTCGTCGTATTCTGGAGAAAATAAATAGGACTAGTAAATAAATCCAGGCCAGAGTACAACCAGGTGAAGATAGCAAGAATGTTTTTCCAATCAATTGCACAGGAAAGTACTATCAGAAAATGAGCGCATTTACAAAATAAAACTAGAAATGTTGAGCAGTTTACATTCAGAGCAAATGAGAAGGTCTCTGCAGATAATATCCAAAACGGTACAATGTGTGAGTCAGAACAGAACCTGGGAGCATCCGAGTTTGTTTCTTGAACCCCTGCTAACATCACCAAACCGTACATTCTATTAGAGACTTTCCCAAGGTCTCCTTAATTTAAATTTCACAGGGAAAGCAATCCCTTTCCACGTAGGATGAACAGTAGCTCCAAATGACACCCAGTTCAGCATTCAAATCAAACACTTGACCTCCTTGGAACCAGGAACTCCTTCTCGGCTCCCTTCCCAGCCTCAAACTAACCAGCAGAGCAGACCTGTCCTTCCCCCCCCCGCTCTCTTGTCCTGCACAGCACAGCTGCGTCACCGCAAAACCTCTCGCGTGCTTGAGGCAGTAATTTCTGCTGAGCTCCAGTGCTGTGACACGCAGGAAGGTGTCTGGGGTGGCCAAAAAGAACCACAGGGGAGAAGTTAAACTGTAACACTCTCTCTTTTCCAAGTCTCTCTCCTTAAGTTAAATTTTGTATCATCTCTCCAGCCACTTAAACATCCCTCAGGATTTTTAGACATTACACACTGTTCTGTGTATGAGAAAAATACTACGTACACTGGCTTTTGTAGATCAAAGAGTGTGCTGTGTACTTGAGAGTACTGAAAACCAAGTTCATCGCTGTACAACTATCAGCCACGCAAACTCTCAGCTCAGTAAAGTGTCAGGTTCGCTTGCCAAAGCCACTGATGGACAGCACTTTCTGCACTTGCATTCTCAGTAGCCTGCTGTTTTATGCATGCAGGACAGCCTGAACAGTTTGGCCTGTCTGTGTATCTAAATTCCTTTGAATGGATGGGACACTGGCTTTTATGCTATCAAGAAAAGAAATTCAACTAACAACGTTTTTTGTTGGTTTATACTCTGTTTCCAAATAAATAAAAGTAGAACTTACGAGCACGTATAAACCTTCCTAATGCCTTTGTGCTTGATACGATTGTGACGACATAAACTATGGGATGAACTGAAAGATTTGTCACACTGTCGACACGGATGCTTCTTCATTTGCTTTAAAGAAAGAAGAAAAATACATTAATTAAAAGAGCTCAGTAAAAGTAGTGCATGTGTCGAAACTTCCAATAACAGGAAGGAAACACCACTTACCAGTGCCTGGTTCTGCGTGTGAGCACACTCTGCTGCTGCAGCAACGCTGCAGAGGCAGAGCAGCGGGGCCTGTCAAAGCAGCGTGGCCAGTGAGCCTGAGGGAGGGCTCATCCCTGCCAGTCAGGTACGGGGGAAGGGACAGCCAGCCTCGTACCAGCCAAGGAAAACCACATTGGATTGCTTTTTCCTGCTCTAGCAGAAATCACTTTTCCTTCATAGTATCAGTAACATTCTCTTTCCTGCATTTATTGGGAAACTGAAAAAAACAAACCACTCAATTTTATTCTACTATTCCAGCGGAGGCCACTGAGCAAAAGACTTGGATCAATGCTTGAAGTTGGACCCTTCTTGACTCCTCTGGAGGACCTACCCGAGATCTGTCTAGGATAAGTAATCTGTCTGATTACTGAAAACTGTAATTTACCGCAAAGTTTGGAGTGAACGGTGGGAAGTTTGTGCACGGGAAGGAAGGAAGGAAGGAAGGAAGGAAGGAAGGAAGGAAGGAAGGAAGGAAGGAAGGAAGGAAGGAAGGAAGGAAAAGCAGTGCTGAACAGTCACTCATGCAAATGTGAAGCAGCCCATTAGGAGACATGATATGGTAATTTTATTGGGGCTCATCAACATAATGCTGTTAGAGGCGCAGTACTGTTCAACAAGGACTTCCTTTTCACATTTAAAGGCCAATTAAAGTAAAGGGAAATCAGCATACTTCGCTCTTAAATTGTTAAAGGTGAAAACCTGACAGTGTACCCACAGTGCACACTCATTAATGCTGATGCATTAGTCAGTACATTTTGCAGTTTGCTTATGACTGCAATGCTCTGGGAAGAATTTATAAAATAAAACGTGGAGTCGTATTAGGGCTATCCAGAAGCAGCCCTGCACGGTACAAACACACGAGCTCACCACGGTCGCCCGGTCTTTGCCAAGGCCACTGCAGAGCGCAGATGCTCCCGGCACGCACGGGACCATGCTCAGCAGGACCAGTCCCTCCCAGAGCACCTGTGGCACTGCCTGGGGTAACCACCTCTGACCCCATGTGCCTGCTGAAGGCACTGGGAAGGTTCCGGATAGACCCAAATAGGATTTTGGATGCAGTCGTTTCTGCAATGGCAGCCAAAACCAAGAGAACTGCAAAATTAGTATTGTAATTAGGTGCAGCATGACCTGTTGTACAGCATCTCGTCTTTACAGGAAGACGGAGGATATTCAATTATGTGCACAGCGAGTCGGAGTTGGTAAAGCAATTCCTGCTTAGAAAACATCTGTCCTTGCATGGAAACGCGCTGGCACACACATCCCGGGCCGCTCGGCGTCTGTCTGCCTGGCTGAGTGCAGACGTTCACGATCCAGGCTCAAGCCAGCACCTGTACAGGCTTGTCAGAACCACCCGTCATCTGGCCTAGTAACATTTTTCTTTCAGTAGATGTTATTAGATGAAACAGACATAAGAACAGAGCAGAATAATGATCAAACTTTAAAGGAATTATTTGGAAAAGCCCAGCTGAATTTTGAAAAAATATTACTTCACATTTCAGGTTTAATTCACCTTTCTGTAAATGAGTATTATTCCCTTACCTTTCCATGTTCTTTCCTCATGTGCGAGATGTAGACGTCTCTCTGAGTGAAGAGCCTGTCACACTCCCAACACGTCCAGCCAGGAGTAGCAACTTTTTTAGCCTCTGCTTTCTTCAAGGGAGAAGGAGATTTCTTCTCCAGCTTCTCCGTTCCGTTGACAGATTTTGAGTCCTCTTTGTTGTGGCCAGCTGAGTTCTGCATTGTGGGTTTAGTGCTGAGAGGCAGATTTATCCCCAGGTTTGGTGGCCCCTCAACGCTTTTCAAAGTTCCATGCATAGACTACAGTAAAAGAGAAAAAAAAAAGGTACAAAACTAACACAGATGTACGCACAGTTGTATCGACAAAATGCAAAGACTCTCTGAGCCAAAAGTATTCATTTATTTCTTTGCTCCACTATTATCAGATCCCATCCTTAAAGAAACATGATTAAGTAAAGACAAGGCCTGGCACTAAGAGAAGCCAGCCAGCAATGTGAACAGACATCAGCTAAAGAGTTTTCTTCAGTAGCTAGGTATTTTGACACAAAATTGAGACTCTGTAGGTTAAGTTTAAACTGCTGTTTAAAAGGGAGGAAAAAGAGGCTCAAGAAGTACTTTAAGTTTTATTTCTTGCTTTACTTACCTAAAGTATTAGTCGAGCATCCTCATTTCAAACTACGTAAGTAGAGATTTCCAAGAAGGAAAGGTTTTTACGGACAAATTTTGACTTGGCACATTGGTACAGCAGAGGAAAAAAGGCACCTCTGGAAAGATCAGGCAAATATATCCTTTAGGATATATCCATATTTTATGTCAAGGCTGAGTTAAGCTCTGCGTTACCCCACGCTCAGGTTAACCCTAACTTTGAGCTACGTTGAGCAGCCCTGAGCAGGGTGTGCAGGGCTGGCGGGGTCCCCGGACCAGGGGACAGCCCTGAGGTGTCTCAAGCTGTTCCCAGCACCCTGCAGCTCTTGGGTAGGGAACTTTCCTCGCGGATTTATTTCTAGACTTTAAGTAAACCATCAGCAAGAAGGGACGGACTCTTCCACCTCCTCCTTCCCCAGTTTCTGGAGCCAGTGTCATATGCTGATGTGACACCCGAGCCTACCAAAAAGAGGACTAATTCAGGAAGACTCGGGCTCCAACAGCGTGTTCGAGTGTCGCGTGTGGGCACAGACACAGCAGCAGTGAGCGAGCAGAGAACTCGCCAGCGCAACTGGGAGTCCTGCACCTCCGCTCCAGGCCTTCACCCCAACTCAGAAGTGTGCTTGTAGTGAGTGCTGCAGGAAAATCAGACCTGCGTCCTGCCAACAAGAAACATTCACATCTGCGGGAATTATTCTAGGTTATTTCTTGTAGCTTTAAATAACCTCCTCCTGAGCTGCCTTCTATATTTTTCTGCTCTATTTTCACCCAGGTCTTCTCTGCCGTGATGGTTCTTGTCCGGCCATCCCAAGCAGTTACTCCTTGTGCAGGTGGGCTGAGCTCTGCCCTTGTCTGGCGCTCGTCCTCTCCCGAGTCCTTTTCTGGTTTTTGTCTATACCCTGTTACTGGTTTTGAATTCCCCCTTAACTGAAGTGTAATTTATACTTTGCTGCTGCTGTCCCTACTACTGTAGCCTGTATACACCCCCTAAATGTAGAAGCGCTAGCAATTCTGACTAAAAGCAGTAATACTGTTACTGCAGGTACACATTCCAGTCCTCTAATTTTATTCTCAAAAATGTCTGAACCATTTACAGTGAAACATGCTAAAAAAAACCTGGTTGAAAGTTCAAATAGTGACATTGAACACTAAAGCCAGAAGAATTAAATGGTGCCCACATCGTAAGTAATTGAGAATAACTTTGTAATGAGGCATGCTGAGCAACCCTCATTTCTGCAAGAATAGCTTCTGGCCCTAACTGCAGCCACATCATGCTCCTGAAATTGCTGTTTTCAGGTCTCAAAGAAGCAGTTATGTACAGATATAACAATACTTTTACAATAATACCCGAGTCAAGAAAAGCTAATTACATAAATAAGACATACACTGCAATATATGGAATTTGCCTATTTAGTTTAAAAAAGCAGCAATACAAGTAGGTCAAATGAAACTGAAAACAGGACTTTGCATTGCTGCATGTGAGGACCGTTTAAGTTACCTGGCATAAATGTGAGATGATTCTTAGAGTAAATACGAACCAGTTCAGAAACAAAGAAAACTTCCGGTCCTTGTATTTCTGAGCATCTTGGCTCTGCCCTTCCCTACCTCTTCCTCAAGTTTAAGACTGGCCTTAAGACCAACTGTTCCAAAACTTGTAGTATTGTTTTCAACGCAACTTCAGAGATTTCTGAGGTTACAAGGGCCACAGTTGAGACTGAAATGCAAGATGATGGTTTTAGCAGACAAGATGTCTGGGTTTCCACTATTCTGTATCCAAATTTTACTAAGTCTTAGGTGTCACTGCAAAAGAAACCCCCTAAATTAAGTGCTGCTGTCCTGGACTGTAGTGCTTTGTAATGGTGTAGATAACTTCAGCTGTTACCAGGTGTAAGACATTCAGCACTGCTAACAGGTTTGGTATATATAAAACAAAGTGACATAGTATGTTTAAAATACACAGCTAACAAATGATAGCTAGGGGACTTCTGATTCTTAGTCACGATTTGCAAGGGTGACAGTAAATTTTCTTCAGTTATAAAAGTATTTATGAGAAAATCCACTTCAAAGCATGCACGTGCTCATGTTTGCATGCAAGCACACACACAAATAACCTCTACACCTATTCAGAACACATATACTGGTTCCTACGGCTGAATTCTGGACGTTAAAGGTTTGATTTGGTAACGTACTCGGCATTTTCAGCTCCTAACAATTGGAATAATACTTAGAATACTGGAAATAAGGCTCAATGCTTCTTAGGATAGGACAAACTTACTTCATTATTATTATTTTGAGAACATGACTGATCAAATGCAATGCACTGAGATATTCCTAGTATACCAAAATCAACAGTCACACAGAAAAATTGAGTTAGTGATTACACCACAGATACGCTGAAGACCACACAAAATATAACATTTTAACGTTTGAGAGCATTATTCACAGATTACTCTCTTAGAATCATTAACATCACTCTCTTCAGGCAGTCTTCTTGTTATTCCGTGCCTTTTACAGTATTTTCTCACAGCATATATTGCATGACAAATGGTATCTAGGAAGGAAACAAGAGAAGATGCCTACACACCTTGATGTGATCCATCATAAGCTGTTTCTGTGCATACAGAAGAGAACAGTCTGGACACTTGAAAACAGACACCTTCTGGTTTTCAATGTGCTGATCAAAGTGGCGATAGAGCAAAGGTTGTAGAGTAAACACAGTGTCACACATAGAGCATTTATATATTATTCTAAAAACAGAAGTACAATAAACAACGTCAGTCATGTTGGTGATCTATTTGCAGGAATCATGATGTTAACTTTTTTTCTCAGCAGAGACAAGATCTGACATGTTTAAGCAATCATTTCACACTGCCTGAAAAAAAGTTAAAATTAAACTAAGACAAAACATCCTCCAATTTCAAAATACAGGAGCAGCACAAAAACAGAAAAATAGAAAAAAATCATTAAAAAGTGCAAACAGGAGGCCAGAAAACAACAGCATACGCCAGGTACATATGTAATACCAAATCTGCTTCGGATACTCTGAAAGTTCAACGTCTTCGGTTTCTGAACTCACATTAGTGACTGATTCAATCATAACTGGTAATACACTTCAAGATAAATGTATTTTTGGCAGCATATACGGCTTTGAACCTCCCGAGTGCCAGCCCAGGGCTCCGTTAACGCTCCAAGGCTGAATCCTCCCCATTCTGCCATCACCAGCCGCTATCAAAGCAACACTGACACCACCAAAACCACAACTTCCCCTCAGAGCGTGCACCCCTTTTGAAATGAGCTGGCTGCATCCCCTGTTCTGACAGAAACATCTAATCAAAATTCTAACAAAAGCTGTTTATGCTTTAGTAGCTGTGTAACTGGTGAAGCAATACATCTATGAATATAATTTCAGAAGTGCTTTAGAAACAGATACGCTAATTAACAAAGAACTAGCTAAGTACTGGACATCAAAAGCATAGCCCCTGAAAATGAGTAAGATAGCCAAAATTCTGTATCACAAAATTGTAACAACATTATTAAACAATCTGAAAATAGTTGTATTTTTAGCAGATGCCTGTCAAATGTCTGTCCAACAGACAAAAACCATAGGGAAACCAGAAACATAATCCTCTGATCTAACTGCTGAAACAACTACTACATGACAGCAGTTTGAAGCCTGTTTAATTTTGCTGATGATTTTATAACAAATCTTTCTTTATAGTGAAAAAAAAGTAACAAAGACATTTGCCATAGATCATCAGATGAGAGAAAAGTCTAATCCACTGGCCGTCAGAAGTGATAGTACCTAGAAAAAGTTCAGCTGCAATAAGCAGACCCCTCAAGAGGTGCTCGGTGCGACACAGGCGCAGGCGTCCCGGCCCCATCAGTCAGAGGCTGATCTCTGTCCTGAAGAAAGACTTTCCCTTGAAAAAACCACAACAAACCCTGCTGGCCAGAATGCTGAATTTTCTGGTCACCCACACAAATGTTCTGAGCCCTTTGTATATCCTCCTAAGTGATCATCTGCGCTAGTTCATTCTTCAAGAGAAGATCACTGCACTGCGTTTTGAGATGACAAGAGCAGGGACACTGCAGTCATTCAGTGAGTCCAAGCATTTGAAATAATGAAAAGTAGTACACTTAATCATATTAACTGTGAAAAAGACTCTTTTTGTGGTACATCAAGTGGTCTCAGTTTCTCACATATACTAAGATTAATTTATTATTTACGTAGCATCCTCTGATGACCTGCATACTGTTGTGCTGCTTTCTGTGGAAAACCCTCTGCACAGGGCGACGCTGCGCGGGCACAGCAGAACATCCCCCAGCTTCTGGGGGAAAGCGCCAACGGGTTGTCACCCTGGCAGGGCAGCAGAGCTGAGCACAGACAGACACGGAGCACACTGGTCTCCTGCAGCTTGAACAGTGCCTGTCCAGGCTCTGAGGGGCACAATCAGCCAAAGGAGTCACTGTGCGTGCTGGGCACCTAGGCACGCTCCCCCGTCTTGGTCCCATCTCAGCAGAGCAGCTAGTGATAGTTTAAAGCAGTGAATTTTCTGTCAGCCCTCTTCACTCCAAGAAAAACTCCAGAGTTTCCTCAGTCGCTGCAGTCCTGCAGTGGATCTGCTTTAATGTCACAAGCTGGAGCTGGCACCAACCATATGCATTGCCCAGTCCTGGGGCACCAAGTGTTCTCCTTCCGCCCCTTACGGCACTGTCCTACAGCTCCATCAGCAACTTTGTCAGGACAGCTCTCTGGTAGAGATCCAGATTTCAGCCAGTTCTCTCAGAAAAGACTGCACACACTGAAATTGCCACCAGCACACCCAGCAGTATGAGTTGTGACTATACACGCTTCGAGCATTTCTTTCAGTCACGTCAAAAGCAAGATTTGCGATCCTAAACACATGCAACTGAGTGTGCTGGTTTGTTTTGTAATTGACGTGGTCAGCATTTAACACCTAACCGCTTAAAGCCCTGTCCAAAGCTGAAGTGCAGTTATGCTTAGTCAGGACGTAATTTACAAGTCCCCCAGTTCAACAAAACACTTGGGCAAGGCAGGCTCCAGCTGCAACCACAGCCCCACAGCGCAGCCGGCACGGCATGCGCACTTCCTTGCTTTCCAAAAATCTGGTTAACGAATTCATGTATTATCTCTGAATAAATACATATGTTATTTCACAGGAAAATACTTTCATATCACATAAAAGATGTTCAGCATTCTGAAAGCTTATGCACCAGGGTATGGTATTTCTCCTTTCCATAACTTTTTCCTCTAAAAAAAATGGTACTTGTGGCATAACATACTTTGTCCCAATAGTACATAATCTGGCTTGATAAACAGGAATTCCTCCAATATCCAAAATGAGATCAGCCATGAAAAATGTCTTTGTGCCGTTCCTATGAAGTTACACTGTTTACTGAAAAAAGAAAATCACGTATGAACTTTGGTTTCCCAGGAAAACCATGTAGCATCTTAGGCGTGCTACAGAGGAGGCTTCTCAAAGTTGAAATTAAGCCAGCCATCCATTTCCCTGTATTGAAACAATCTAATTTAATCCCGCCGAGGATCACTGTACAGAAACTTCATTTTTCATACACCAAATAGTTTACTGCATCTGTCCCGAAACAACCATTTGTAATGCAATTGTAAATCCTACGGTTCCAGTAAATGCCAGAGGCACACAGCCACGTATCCAGGGAGCCCAATTCCCACAACCAGACCAGCGTGAACCTGCCAGGCGTCCCTGGGGACCCGACCGGCCTCGCCCACTTTGGGGGCAGAAGCAACAAACCCACCCAGCCCCACATGGGGAGCCCAGAGGAACCCCTAGGAGCCAGGCTCCATGAAGCTCCACATCTGCAACCCCCACCCCCCTGATAAAGCGGTGATATCTGAAACTCGCTGTCAGTGGTCAGACACCTTTCACTCGCTCAGTGAAAACTCCATTTCCAAACACGGAGCATCCCGAGTGCTGCTGGCAACACCGCACCACCCAGAGCATCTGGAGCAAAAATGGCACTTTCAAAGAAACACTTCTTAAGGGCAGCACTCACCTATGAATTCTATAATTTACTACAATATAGTAGTACTTAATAAAATTGTACTTTAGTATTCTTATAATCAAAATAAATTCATAAAATAATACAATCATAAGCACATCTATATGTGAAATACTTAATCCACAAAGTTGATTGGAAACAGTTCAGCAGATCTAAGCACAGTTCAAGACAACCTCTGCACTGTTCATACGTGAAGTACCTCACATCCTAAAACACAGACCCCGGAGCCCAGCTCCCAGCTGTGCCCTGTGTTACCATCTGCAGTGAACCACCGTGTCCATGCACAGCTTTCCTTGCTACAGTATGGAATCAGTCCTGCTTTAATCCAGAAAAAGGAGATTACGTGCTGGAAAAAAGCTTATATGAACAGCTCTATCAATGCAGCTATTTTGACTGGGAGAGGCGAGGCTGGAAATGCTTTAAAGGCTGGCACATCTCACTTCGTAACACACTGAACTGCTCTTCTGCAGACGTGACCATCTTAGGGAAGCAAAAACCTGGCTCAGCACTCCCAAAACGTACAGCTTTCATCATGAAGAAAACTCTCATAGGCAGAAAGAGAACAGAAACTGCATGAAAAACCCCACCGAGCGAGCGCTGCCTGCCCAGAGGGGCTTGGCGGGGGCTGCAGGCTCTGCCAGAACGGCCCCAGGTCAGCACAGAGACGACCACCTCTGCCACCGCTGCTCCACGTGCACCCTGACCCCCCCAGCTGACTGCACTGGAACAGACCATTTTCCAAATTCATTCACCTGTGAGCACGTAGTAGAAAAAACGTGAAATCACTTTTTCCCACCTTTTCAACCAGATGTTATGAAAATCACTGCATAGCCCTGATGAGTCTTAGCAGTTCTTTTTGGAAACAAGTTATCTTAATTCACAGTACAAACGCAGATAAGCTAAGCAGATTAAAAATAAGATACATGTTTAATATATTAAAAATAAGAACGAGCAACACACTAGTTGCCTGCCCAAATAGTTTTTGTAATTACTGTATTACTCTCTTGTAGCATGCAGTGTTTAAAGAACTCCTGTTGCTATGCTCATGGAAATTTAACCTTTGCCAAATAAATTGCCAGCTAAAAACCTGTGAAAACGTTACCGACACGACAACAAGCTTGGTTGCACAGTACGTGACTTCTAAGAGCACGAGCACAGGACAGAATGCAGTTTCACAAGTTACCAAAATGCAGGCAAGAGCAGTAGAAGATTAATTTTGCTTACTTTGGTTCGCCTATCTTGATACCCGGGTGTTGTGTGTAGGCATGGGAGTGTGTGCTGGGAGCAGATTTGAATGCCATGGGGCAGATAGGACACTTGTAAAAGACTTCACAGTGAGAACCTTGAATGTGAGACTTGAGTGCCGCCACGTCAGAGTACACAACATTGCAATGCACGCAGCTGGAAAAGAGCGGAGAAGGGTCAGTTCAGCCTCGCCCGCAGCAGTACTGCAAGAAAAGGAATCAACACTGATTTTCAAGCAAGTGGAAGAGAGAAACACGTACGTACAACCGGATAAAACTACGTTATTCTGTCCCTTTAAACAGCCCAGTAAGAATCAACATAAACAGAGATTGGCAAATCAGAAAGTAAGCAAAAAGAAATTCCCCCAATTTAATTTGAAAATCTAGGAGAGATGAAGTCAGAACATGTTTTTATGGCATGACAACAAAACAGATAGAAGGTTGACAGAGGAATATTCTATTGATTGTAAAAAGAACGCTTAAATCCTCTGCAAATTTGCAAAGAGATTTTATGAAATGCATTTTCATCACATGCAGTGGATTGCTGAAGGTGCGTCACAGCAATTTAGGAGCTACCACCAAAATGGAAAACCAGTAAGGAAAACATTTCCACCAATTCCCTTGTTTAGATTTCATGAAGACATAACTGGTAATGATTTTCTGGACATGTAATCAAATCAGCACTTGGATTTAAAAACAAAAAAGAGTAATTTAAACTCAGGACAACTGGACTGAATCTCTACGATCAGATCAATCTGTCCGATTGGAAATCTGGAAATATTTTTCAAAAACATACTTCTGCTGTGTCGAAAATTTGGGACCTTTCCGCATATATTCTAAAATGAAATGATTAAAAAATTGAATTAATATTAGTACATAAGAATTTCTATACACAATGGTCCCTTTTAGTGCCGCACATCTCCAGTACTAAATGCGGCCGAATAGGTCCAAGAACACTGCAATAACAGAAGCAATTACAAAATAGCCTGTCAAATGAACAAGGCCCTTACCGACCAGTATTTTACAGTAAGAGTTCTGTAATATAAACACAGAAGGCCTCTACTCCTCCAAGACTTTAATTTCGGCATCTATCTTGGCAGTGTAATGTTGTCATATGAACAGCAAATCATTTTGCAATACTGTTTTGATGCTCTGATGACAGCAATAAAGCAGGAATACAGTTACACATTGCATTCAAGAATGCTGTTTCCTTTTCAAATGTCTCAGCTTTGGATTTTATGAAATGCCATGCTTTTTTCTGAGCACTTTATAGCACTCTTTATTTATAGTCTTAGTGCTATTAATCAAGTTTCAATCAATATAAAATATAAATATTTTAATATAAAAATAACTATATTAATCAGGTTTTAATCAATATCTAGTCTCTGCTTACCAGCACGTTTTCTAAAGTAAACTGTCCTTGTATTTCTGGGTCTGCTGAGATCTCTGTGTGCAGAGATGAGCGATTCTCCTCAGCAGTGCAAAGCCCAGGTCCCATCCTCAGGTGTCACTCCGAGAGCGTGGGGTCGCGTCTCTCCTCTCCTCCCCACCCCACCCCACCCTGTCTGCAACACAGTGAGGTTCCTCAGCATCCACCACCGCGTATCAAAACGGTTCACAAGAACCAATGTTCCTTTCCTGCACTGCTCTAACAGCTTGCTTGTTTTCAACTTGGAAGGATGCAATTAAACTTATGGTTGACTTTTCTGCTGATTTACTTCAGACAAGTACTCTAAATCAGTGCAGTCAGACTGAACGCCCTCACAGAGGTCCCCTGAGAGGCAAGACGGGTTATGCTGTTCCTCGAGCAAGCGTGCCACGGTGACAGGATGACGCTGAGGAGTTCAGGTACGAAGATTTTAACTGTCCCAGATACTGCTTTTCTTTGCCTAGGTATGTTTGGTGTAGTCTCACTGTCTACAGAAATTCTGACTTAGTGTGATATGAGATGTTTATGACACATCTTGAAAAGTCTAGTAACTTCAGTTTAGATTCCCAGTGAAGCATTTATGAGGCCTCTGGTGTCACTGGTGCAGGCCAGGAGTCCCCGAGGATGATTCAGTGCACAAACCCAAGAGACACAGATGAGAGGGAAGGGCAGTAGAGCGGAGGCAGCAGACGTAAGAAATGCAGGACAAGACTGCTTGGGGGAAAAGGATAAAAAAGAACCCAAAGAAACGCCAAGAGCTGAGAGCTGTCAGGCCATGGGTGCAGCCCGAAAGCAGACTGCCAGAGCAGCTGGCCTGATGCAGTAAAAATGCTTTCTTCCCTTAGCGGGAGATTTCACAGCCGTCCCAATAAATGAGCTTGTGGCACCTGGAGGGGAGGAAGCTGCCTGCTGCTGAGACTTTCAATCACCCTTCTCCAGTCAGACAGGATGAAGTGGAAATGTTTTAGGAGTGCTGAGCAAAGCTTGGCTGTGTGCGTTGCTCTTCTGATCTCTTGCTGTGCTGCCTGCCACTTGGTGCGAGTAAAATTCTAAGATAAAACAATTTTTCAAGCCTCTCAAAACCTAACATTTGCATGGAATGCCTCTCATCCCCATTTTCTCTGTGAGTTGCCATTACAAGGAAACAGAAGAATAAAAGGGAAGCTGACCAAAAGGAAGGACCAAAAGACCAGGCTGTTTAATTAAGAATCAGCTGAGGAGTCTTGGCTTCCCACAGAAAAGAGAGCAACCAGACAGGTGCAGTACGCCATCAGCAGCTCCACAGTAAATTCTGGCAGTAAATACTGAGAAGGACTGTTCTACCAGAGAGAATGTTCTGAAAAACTCTAAAGGTTTTTTTTAACAGTGAAAGAAATTAAGAAAATACATCTGAATTCGCCAGACCTTATAAACTGTGAAGTCCAGAGTCTGACGTTTTATGGCTGGATGAGATTAGCTAATATTCTGGTTTAACAACATACAAAAGCAGATCCCCGAAACAAAGCAGAATTCTAATGTGGTATTTATTCCAAAATTTGTAGTACTAATAGCATTGTTGCCATGACAACCTTAAACCCATGAAGCTGTATTATATAAACAACGCTTATGAAAATGGAAAATTACTTTTAAAAGCATAAATTATACATAAATTGACAACAGAAGGAATCATTATACTGACCGAAAACCAACTCTTCGGGTATAATGCAGGCAGTTCTTAGTGACATGAGTCTGGAAGTGGACAGATCTGCAGATTGCTCCACATTCGGGACACGTGTATGGAGATTTATGCTGATGAATTCTCTGGTGTGATGCAAAACTGCACTGGTTAGGAAGCAGCATCTGGCAGATATTGCATGTCTTCTAAACGATAAACCAAAACAGATGAAACAAAAGGTTTGGTTCAGCTATAGATAACGTCTTGTGTCAAACACTGTAATACAGCAAACAGAAGGTTACATGTTATGACTGTGATGAGAACCAAAAGCAGTAGCAAGTCCTAAACGCAGGCCCTCCAGACAGATCTCATAGCCCAGAGCTGGCGGCCACTGGCAACCACATTGGCATCCCGGGCCTCCAGACCCCGCAGGGCTCTTTGGGACACCTCTGCTGTGGCAGACGCTTGTCACACCTCCGCTCTCCTCGGGTGCCTCACAAGAGCCCCTGAACAGCGCAAGGGGCCTGAGGACAACCTGAGAATCAAACCTGAACTCGGTGCACCACATAAAGTGAAAAACTCCAAACCCACCAAATATTCTCTCTTTGCTTTCCCTTAGCCTTGCTCCTGATGAATTCTGATGGTAAATCCCATAATGCAAATGGACTACTTTATCAGGTAGAAAGCGCACAGGTCAATCTCAAAATGCATTTCTCATCTGCATTCTATCAACATACTGTGCATCTGAGTAAAAACCAGAGATCTATAAAATATTTAGAAAGCGCTTCGTTGCAGGGCAATCTTTCTACATGCAGGAGTAACTTACAAAACTAATTCTTTTCTTGTACTTCGTCTCACAAAAATAATGTTAAAAAAATCTTCAACTACATGTTACCAAATCAGAAACACTCAAATTCTTTGGATGCTTTGTGCCATTTTGGGGATGAAATGCAAATGATGCAACCCAGCTGTCAACGGGCTTCACTTCTGCTCACAGGCGCTTCCCATCACTGGAGGGCACAAGGAGCCAAGCCTGTGAAAGCATTCCAGAAAATGTTTCATTTACAGTAATTTGTCTCTAAAGTCCTTAAGCAGATGGCTGACGTCCTGCATGGAGCTACGCTGCTAACGTTGATCACGGAAGCGGCTTCGCTGACCCACAGAAACGCTCATGGCCCCAGCACCAAGCACAAATGCAAGTCTTTGCGGAACAGGACCTTAACTCAACCTCATTTCCTGAGACACTGCTTTGTAAGGCTTTTATAATTACCGCCACTATTTCTTCTGACTTGGGACTTAGGAATCTCACCAGCGACTTATGAGGATTTAAAAACAAAACCCTGACTCCTTCAGGACATGGGTATTTTTTAACAGGAGATGGTGTAGTTTCAGAAATGTCATCTGTAAGAATCTTGCAGATGTAGCGATGTATTTTGCAAGAACGAAGAACAAGACAAGATCTCCAGAGCTGCATTTTAAATTATTTACTAACCTATGTATTCAGAAATTCTGAAATCAATAAGAAACGATACCTTTCCTCATGGTAAAACTGTTTCTTACTAAATGACAGGTGCTTCAGAAAGTCACCCCCTTCTTCCAATTTAGGTGACTCTTAAAAACCAGTGAGATCCAGATCACGCAGCAGCAGAACCAAAGCCACCACTGTGGAAGCTCTGGTACGGTGTCACAGATCGCTTTCACAGGTACTGCCAGTCATGACAGCAAAAAACAATCAATCTGTTCCTGTTTAATGAGCAGGAGACAGACACCATTTCCAAAGATGGATGCAAAAAGCCTTTCTAATCACCGCAAAGACGGATTTTGTGCTTCTAATAGAACACTGCTTAATACTGAGGTCTAAAGTAATTTAACTGCCTTGGCATTTTTACAGTAGTACTGATACAATAAGAACAAGTTTATTTTTGTTCTGTACACTCCATTTTTACTCTTTTTCCAAAACAGCTTAACTTAAATGCTTTTTTTGAAGGTGCATGCAAATACTCTGATTCTTTTTAAAAAACCAGTAATTTTAAGTAGAAATGCTATCATGAAACACCCTGTGATCAGACACACGGAAACAAGAGGTGTATTTTCATAGGGTTCACTTCATCTTTACTTTGTGAACAGGGTGGCCTGACATGTTGGAACACAGTCTCCATCCAAACACGCTTCTCAAGTGTCCTGATGACAGCAAATGGCAAAATGGAAAACATTAAAATAGTGGAAGTTAAGCAAAGAAAATCTCCTGTCACTCCAATGGGGGTTCGCATTAGCAGCACTCCCAGCCTAGCGCAGCAGGGAGACGCTCCCCACCCCAAGGTTACCTCTGCGGGGAGCTGCAGCCATCGCCCTGATCAGAGCCCTTGTGACACTGCAAGTCTGAGAACCTCTTCAGACACACACCAACATTCACTTTGAAATGACAAATACCAAAGAGCTGTGGCCAGACCCAACAACTGCCAGGGCTGCTCGGGTGCTGGCACCTTCAGCTCAGGCTGACCGGCAGAATCCCGACTAACCACGGCTACCAAAAGTGCGCTTGCCCTTTCCTTGGCTTCTGCGCCGCTCCTAACATCTGTCTTTTGCCACTGACGTATTAGTAAGCAGCACTGTAACACTGGAGCATCTGGAGCATCATCTGATCACGTAACAAGGTAGCAAACAGAAATTCTTCCTCCGCTAACAGAAACACTCGGGCTTTCCATGGCTGTCCTGAATCTCTCCGTCTGCAGCCGGGATGCTGCACCACAAAGAGCCGGACCCAGCCAAGTGTTATCTGCCCGGCTCTGCAGCCTGCAAGAGCCCTCTGCAACGCCAGCAACTGACTGACACCAAATGCCAATTCGCTCTCTGTTAAGGCCACTGGTTTGCTTCTTTGATTAAACAGTAAAATGTTTAATTGTAGCTGATTACAGTAGAACAAGAAGAATCTACTGTGAAATTCTGAAATTCAGCATGTGTGCTTACCATTTTGTTTTGGGCTTAAGGTGGCATTAACTTCCAGTTCTCTCACTGCAACCCAAACCAAAATAAAACACAGATTGTGAACATCACCACCTGCCTCCATTTAAAGTCAGCTCCAGAAAGAAAAAAAAAAGATTAGAAGAAAAGAAGAAAAAAAGACGGAGGTGGGAAATAAAGAAACACAAGGACTAAGAGTTATGAAGGGAAATGAGCTATGTAGTTTCCATGGGAGCTATACACTTGTATCTACAAATAAGATGACCATTACGTTAATTAGCCCCAGTTTACTACTCTTTTTTCCCCCCAGTAAGTAGATGAGGGTCTCATTCACCCAGGAAACCCATGAGCGGCCCCATTCCCTGTAACAGGAACATTACGGAAGTAAAATCTTACAGAAAGGCGACAACTTTACAGGAACATCTTTTAAGTGCTAGGCTGTTTTACTATTGTTTATTTTCAAAGAAACATTCTACCTTCATAACAGGACTTGAAGAAGAACAAGAAATAACACCTACTTACTGCTTAGACTCAATGAAAAGATTAAACAGGATACAATTTCCATTTCAAGAGCAATTAGGTGGGCACTAGAAAGAATGGAAAGCTGTGAGTAGTAACTTTTTCCCCTATTATTTGTTTGCAAAATCCAAATGTTTATTTTTATTCTTCCTTCCTTCCTTCCTTCCTTCCTTCCTTCCAAGTTACAGTATCCGTTTCATCTAAGTTTCCTAACTCCTTCCCTCCAAAATAATGGTAGTTTTGCAACAAAAAAACAGCGCCAAGCACTAAGGAAAACAGTATCAGAGTATTTCTCATCCAAGCTTTTCAAGGCGTAACATATAGTGAAAAAGTACTAAGATGTTTATTAATAAATGCCTATACAGAATCTTTCTTCCGCAAACGCTACCCTTGCAGCAATGCCTGGGACAAGTGGACAAAAGGATAACAAAAATCAAGCTGGACGTACTGCTCTCACCACAGCTGCTGTCAGTTCAACAGATCCATGCAGCGTCATTTTAAAGAGGGTATTTCACAAAGGACACGTAAAACTACGTTCACCAAGAGCGTTCTATTAAAATGGAACAAGATGAAAACAGCTTCTTTTCCTCCAGCTTTCTTTTTTTCTAAAACCCGGAAGCGCGTGGCCTGGCAATCAGGTCCCAAGGCCGCGCTCACCCATCAGCTCTGAGAGAGCAAGTTTACCGCAAGACACGAAGCACATGGACGGGCAGTGGGCAGAGCTGCTCTCTGTGCCCTCCTGAGCTTCCTTCCTGAACAGCAGCTCCGGTACCTGTACGGATCTGTCCTCCTCCCTGCAGTTGTACGCTGAGATTCTATGAAATCTGTTGCTTTCCTGCAGTAAATCACCAGTGGACAGCCTCTACAGGACGTGCACAGAGACCACTGGGCAGCAACTGCGCAAAAGCACTGGCCAGAGGTTGCGGGAAAGGGCAAAAGGTGTTTCTACAAATCAAGTCTGTTCAGTTTACCTGTGCCTACAAACAAAGGCCCCACAGAAAGCGAGTACAGCTTTAAATCTTTGTTCTTCTCTATTTTTTTTTATCCTTACCTCATCCTCCCAACCTATTCTCAGTATATCTGTCTGTCTCTCATCCACTTGCTTTATCTTGATGCCTTCTTAATTGCTTCATTTTAAAGTATCAAGAACAACAGGGGTTTCACAAGGACTACCAGGTCTGATCAACCAAATGATAACTAATGGACCTATTACAGAAAAAAGATAAATCATGGAAAAAAAGATAAATCCAACACCAATAAGCACCAGCAAAGGAGTTCGCTAAAAAAGTTACTGAGTATTAAGTAACTGGTACACAATATACTCATGATCAGCCATCAGATACTGCTCATAGCTGCAGTAAGACCTAAGGAGGGAATCCATGCTGCTAATGGATTTCTGACAAACGCTTAAATAAACTGACTTTGAGTAGGCACGTGTGCAGTACCTGACACATTCACTCACGTGGCGTTTCCCTGCGAATCCAGGCAGTTTCAGCCTGAGCCTGCCAGCCCGTTACTAAGGAGGAGCTGGGGCAGAGCCACATAATCCACACAGTCAAGATCATTTCAAATTCAAATCTCTTTACATTCCTGTCTGTGGAGGTGGGTGCAGTGTAACTGCTTCACGGCCACCAAGCAGGTCTGAAGTTTAGTAAATAGATCCCAACAGGAACCTGTCTGCGCTTCTTCCCGGTAGGCTTTACTCTAACTGCAGGACCTCAAAACCTTCACCCCGCACACTGCTGTGCGACTCCCAGGAACGCTCCTGGGGCAAGGGATATTCAGTATATTCCTGATCCTGCCTCCATCACTCTGAGTATGTTTGCAGGCTTTCAGCTTCCACACAGCAAGAAGCTGCAACCCCAAGCTCAACTGAATGCTCTGAAACACACCAGAATCCCTTTTAATTGGCACGCCCCAACAGAAATCCAACTGTGTCATTTAATTAACGATCTTAACTCTTAGAGCATTATAAAATACATCGCACACTGATTAATATTAACTTTTATTGAATGACGTGTTTCTTTCAGATTACGCCACATACATTAGTAGAGAATTTTAAAATGGTCTGTAAGTTTAACTCATTAGCCATCGTAAGAGGGAAGGAAAATCAACACAAATAAAGAAATGGTCACACAGCAAGAAATGCATGCTAGTGAACACCACTTCTCCCTTCTGTTTAAGAAAGGCCTGACAAAACCAGCCTGCGTGTCCTTTCAGTAGCATCAGTGTGCCATTTATCCACTGCCCGGAGTCCCTGCAGTAAAGGAATACCTGTAGCTCACTTACAGTGCTAGATGACAATAGGCAAAACTGAAACCAATCAGGAACGAATCACTTAAAACTATCATTCAGTTTGAATAGGTGGGCTGCTAATGAGGGTGCCAATTAAGTGGATTCCACAGAATATTCAAATTTCAAAGCACAGAAAGAATAATTAAAAATTCTTAGTAAAGACCATTATTCATTTCAGCATTGCAGCGTTCAGCTGTAAGAAAGCTAATACTGAATTTCAGTAAAAACACACGGTGTCAATTTCAGACTTTGGGGCCTAAAGAAATTCTGAGAAAACTCTTATTTTCAAAAATGTTGACATTCTCTATGTAAGTGCTTTCAAGCTTTTTAGTGGTTTTCGTTTATACCTTTAATCACAAGAGGTTCAGAAAATTAACAGCTAAATGAAAGTAAAATCATATCCAAAGTCTCCTAGGCTTATAGATGGAACATGGGAATTTAAACACATGATACTCTACTTGTCCACTCGTGTCTGCAGCCTGCTGGAAATGAGTGGCAAGAGACGTCTCGTCTTGGAAAACTTCGTTACACTCCAAACACTTCAGACTGTGCCTACAGAGTTTTGAGGGATCTTCGTCCAGCGGCATAGCGGGAATGACGGGTGTGCTCGCCGGGGCCGATATCACTGTCCCTGTTACGCCAGACTGTATCTTTGTCACGCTGTGCGTGCCAGCTCCCACCGGGCTTTGAAGCATGGACGCAGCAGTATTGCTTGAAGGAGATGCTATCATTTGATCTGCTGGGACTGGCTTTAAAATCAGGTGAGAACACTGCATTACAACTCCTTTTTCCTTGTGCCCACGAGCGTGGGAAAGAAGACTGCACTTATTGTAGAAAACCAAGTTCTTTGTGCAATGGTTACAGGTCACTTCAATGCGCACGCTCCTCCTGTCATAGTGCTGGGTCAGGCTCTTCTCGAGAGCAAACGAGTCGCCGCACTCCAGACACTTGTAACCTCGCGTCGGTAGCGTGATTCCGGCGTTGGCGGGGGGACTAAGGTTTGGGATGTAAACCGGTACAGGGTTGACACTGCTCAGCACCTTATTGAACGCCTCCACTACAGAACTTTGCAAAGATGACACCACCTGGACTCGAGACACTTTTTTAGAAGGCTGTGAGGCTGCTGCAGAAATTATTGCCTGCTTTATTTGCTGCTGAGGTTTCGTTAGCACTTGGCGGAGTTCAGAGGTGGTTGGAGCACCTTGAGGCAGGAGATTAAGGTTGGCAAGATGGACCGTCTTTGGCACGAGTTTCGCACTGGCAAGGCTCGATGCTGGCACCACAACAGTCTGCTGCTGTATGGCATTGGCAGCTTTTATGATGGCGCTACTGGCGCTCTGCACGGAAGCAGCGGATATTACAGTGGCTTTCACTGTAGTGTTGTTAGCGAGCTTCAAATTAATAACTTGTGAACCTGCGGTTTTAACTGCTGAAACGGGGAGAAAGGCAGTAGCCACGGGCTTGATGGTGACCTGCTTCGGTGCGAGTTCTGCAGATGCAACGGCGTTGGTGACAACCGTGGACTGGAGAGGAGCTCTAGGGGGAGAGGAAAGCACAGCAGCAGAATTTGGCGAGGACAGGAGGGACGTCATGGAAGTCACCATAGAAGATGTCTGCTCCGGTTTTTTACCAGAGTCGAAATCCACTTCTGGCAACACCCTGGTAACAGTTCTCTTGATCTCCCCAGAAGAAGTCTTGATGGTTTTTATGCGAACTTTAGGAATTGCTGGTGTTGACCCTGCAGGAGAAGATGGAGACCCTTTGCTACTGTTTTCACTCGACACACTTCTGGGACTATCGGGTGGCTTTATAGATGGCTTTTTAGCACCATCAATGAGACTCTGAGATTCAGGGGATTTTTCAATGGCCCGGGGACTTTCACTCATGTCTTTTGGTAGCGGAGAAGATTCTCCTGAATTAGACTGTAAATCTTTACTGGTATCTGTAGCTGCCTTTTTAGCACTCAGTGCTGCAATCGCAGCAATGCACGAAGAAAGCTTTGCTGATGACTTTGCTTTGGACTGTGAAATGCTGGCAAGATTTGTTTCATTTTTTTCAGCACCCAGTTTTCCATCAAGTACCCTGTTCTCAAGGAGCTTCTCAGAATTGTCTTTCAGCAACTTGTCCTCTGTTTTTCGAGCTTTAAAAGGCTCATAGACACTTAAATTCATGGAGTTTGACTCTGTCTCTCGTTTTGCAACTTTATTTTTATCTATACTACTTGAAACTGGGATTCCAGATTTAATCAAGTTCTCCCCTCCAAGTGCCTTTAGTTTGTCATACTCCTGCTGAGATACAGATCCCGCCAACACATTTGCTCTGAAATTTGCTCGCATCTCCTCTTTATCCGGAGGGTCATCCACCTCAATTTTTTCATCATCATCAAATTCTTCAGCACTTGATATTGGGCTAAACTGGTTGAAAGCTGAATCCTTCAGTGTAGTCTCAGAAGCTGACCCGTCATCTTTAAGTGTCTTCCCCTCATCTTTACTGTAACTATCAAGAGCTGACGACGTTAGAAAACCGTTATGCAAGCCATTGCCTGTGGAGTGGTGGCCGTCCTTGTCCACTCCTTCGGAAGAATCAATAGTACGCACATTTTTCACAATGACGCTCACACCGACGTCAGATGATGATGGGGCATGAGAATCTTCTTCCGGGTGAGCATTTTGTTTGATGTGGCTGTCATGGTCATCATGTCCAGATTCAATAGCTGCTTTTGGATCAACCATGTCTGGTATGTCAAAGGCTGCGAGAAGGTCGTCGAAATCTGGGGTCTTCATATCCCCCATGGTCATGTATTTGACTGTAAGCAAATCTGCAAGACAAGCAGAAAGTCATCATCTCAGTGTTTTAAGCTCTAATAGCACACTCTTACACAAAACAAGCGTATGTTCACACATCCCATGGAAAAAGGTGTTACTTCACTTCCAAAGTAATGTTTTCAGGTATTATACATTACAGAATGGTGCTCCAGTGCAAGTGTACAGTCAAATTATTACACCAAGAGCTACAGTAATCCAGCAACTTCACAGACTGTAGTTCATCTTCAGTGACTTTTTTCCTGTCCCCTCTCCTACCCTCTCCCACGTACACTAGGACTATGGCAAGACACCTACACTTTCTTGAGAATAATGTGAGGCACTTGCAATTCTGCCTGAGTCTAAATTTTCCTTGACATTTGCATTACTAACACTGTTTTCTGTAAACTGAACTGCTTTATAACATTACAGAGTAAGTGTCTCCCAGTGTTCACAAGGCTTTTTTTCAGCAACTCCACTGAAGGATCTGCTTTTCCACACGACTCCTGACAAGTGTCTCACCTTTAACGGCCTCCCAGAACAGATTCTACAACCTCCAATGTAATTTACTGCAGTCTCACAAGCTCCACTGTTCTGTTTCCTGCTGCAGAATCCAAATCTTGATGCAAACTGAATGAAGTACATGGGGTTCACCCATCCCCTCTGCAACTGCCCTTTACTTTGAGACCATCACCTCCCTTCAATCTTCTCCTTTTTAGGCTAACCCACACCACATCTTTAGGGTTTTCTTTCTCCTCACAGATAACATTTTCCAGATCCTGTTCTTTTTGTTCGCCTCTGGCCTCTACTGCTGTTTGGGTTGGGTTTTTTCCTTCCAATTCCCAAATTAAACAGGTAGCTCAAATCTGAAACTTTACCAGTGCTGTGTAAAGAGGAAAATTAACTTTGAGTATATTTTTGGATTTCAATCCCACTATGAGATCTGCTTTTTTTCACAGACGTTTCAATAACATGCAGTGGTGTGAAGAGGAATCACTTGCAGAGATCTACAAAAACCAGTAACAGAAAGCACAGACAGACATTTTTTCATTCTCTTCAATAACCATGCACAGGTATGATCTGTACTGTTGTGACAGAGCTGTTGCTGTAATGTACTTTCATTGTTCAGTCATTATCAGTCAGTTGTCAGTGTGAAAAGATACTTAACCAAATAACTGTTATTGTTAGAAAGCGCCCATTTAGGAAGCTAAAAAAATCTCTAGGACTTACGTATTCATCAGCACTGGCTACCTGGAAGTCATTATCGACTCTAAGAAAGGTAACTGAGGAAAATTTCTCAAGGGTGCTGGAATACACAAAGACATTTCATATAAAAAGACACTTCAGATAAATATGTAATAGGTTCGAAAACTGTTTACATGGTCCACCTAATGGTTTTGTTGCTCTGTCTAATTTATTAATTCCTTTGCATGACACCAAGTCCTTCTGCAAAGCTAGACTCAGTATGTGATTCTCTTGAAAATACGAGTAAACCAATGCAACTGATGAACTTACTCTCTTAATTAACTCATAATTCCCTTACTTAATAGACAATACATAGTAGCCTATCGTGGTAAATGCTCATTATCAAGGCTTTGCTACTTTCATAAGGCATATGGTTATATCTGTACTTTACCTGACATAGGACTGTTTCATAATGCTGGTCATTCTGGTTTTACTGTGCATTTGTATAATTATAGAATTTTAAAATCCATTTACTCAAAAGGAAGTTTCTAGTCCTCATGCATTTGAAGCTAAGATGAACATAAAGATTTAGGCAGAGACACCAGACCAGCAACTCCTGCAGTATAATCAGAAGCTAAGCCGTTGCGCTCAGCACACGTGGCTCAGCAGACGCCTTCCCATACCAAAGCACGACGCTGCCCACACTGGTGCACTGCAGGCTGGGATTTTGGGCTACACTCTGCCTGAAGGACTGCAGGATCCCATGAAAGGGCCACAGTTACCAAGGCAAGGTTACTTAGCCAGTGTATACAAAAATACATACATAGTATCAAGATTACAAAGAAAGTTCTTACATGAATTAAACCGAAAAGATTCCAGAGGCCAAAGCATATCAAATCCATGTAAAACTCCACAAACAAAGCCTTAATTGACAGGTTTTCATGATCCGAGATACTAATTACTTGCACTCTGATCTGTCCACAGGTTTCTTTTTACAGTTACTATATACACTCAAAAAAACCTAGAAAGTCCTCCTAGTCTAAACCTTCCTCCAGTTACATATACTGCAGTTTAATTAACATTTAGCAATAGCAATGAACTAAGTAGAGGCCCACTTAAACATACTTGGATAAAATACTGTGTAAGAGCAAAGCAGCGCAGCAGAGGAGATACATTTGTCCTTTACCGAGAAACTCAGTTAGGCTAATTCCAAAATGGGAAAATACCTCAAAAGAACTCCTCACTACTCTAGTACACCATCTTCAGATTCAGTATATAAACTATGTTTCCACCACAACTGCCAGGGCTCTGAAGAGACATTCCTCCCTTTTTGTCTCTGAAAACTTTTCCATGACTTCTTCCCCTTAAGCATAAAACGCCACCTTTTATCCAAGATCAAAATCAAGTGACACCTCGGCTGCCAGACAAGCTGCCACCCTATTCCTCCTACAGCCAACGCGATGCCTGTAAGTACTTCAGGACAGGAAATGAAGCAAGTTCCTGGTTCCCTCGGAAATTGTGATTTTCTAGGAACTGGAATTTCTTTGAGAACTGCTTTTAAGTGCTGAGAGCAAAGCTCAGAGTCTCCAAAGAGAGACACACGGTGTAAAAACCAAGCACCAGAGGGCTGCCATTCTGATGATCTTCAGAGTTGAACTGAGAAACAGTCCTCAAGGTGCCTAATCAAGGAAACATTCCTCAGACTAAACAAACAAAATCACAGTTAAAGCAGCAACCAGCAAGCCCCTCACTTCCTCAAACATCTGTCTCCGAAACAGAATTATTTTCCTTTTTAGTTTCCAAATAACAAACAAAATTGACCTCAAAACTGAGGAATGCTAACTTCAAGAGTGTATTATGAAGAACCATGAACAGATGACACAATAAACACCCCTAATTTTGTGGGTACTCATATAGAGAGTCAGTTTTTAGGTGTACTGACTCTGTCCAAAGTACAATCTCATTTGCAGACGACAGCCTCCCTTTGTAACGTTGCTTTTCCTTCCTGTGGACCACTTCCCCTGCCTGCCTCTCCGCCTGGCCACTGATGTCTACCAGGAGAACACCAGGAAAAGCCTTTCACTCGTGACGTAAGATTTGTGACCTTTAGGGTGCTTGAGTTACTTGAGAGAAGTTATTAAAGAAAATCAGCTTCTTTAAAAATTCAATCATTACTTTGCTTACTGATTAATCAATGATAAAAGTAAAGAGATTTCTGGACATGGCCAGTAGGAATTACAAAGAAAGAGAGCCACGGAGCAGTGCGGTGCAGTGCTTCTGGGTTCTGTTTTTTTTCTCTACGCACAAAGGCTTCTAGCTATTGCTTCTGGACATGTTTATTATTTCATCATTGAGCTTTAAACTTTTCCTCCTTGACATTCACGTTCCTGCTCACCCAAATCTCCGCTGCTCAACCACAAGTCTGGTGACTCCATGCAGTTGCTTTAACTGTCTGTACCAGCCCCATCCTCTCTACTGTATTAAATGTGAATTCTTGCCCTTCCCCTTCAAACCCCAGGTAACTGTACTTACAGCACCTAACTCCACACTTTGTTCAGAGAGCTGCTCAGCTGCAGCTTCCCTCAGCAGCAAGTCTGTTCATTATTTAAGGAAATGGGACCTATGGAGTTCACGTTCTTGTCACTACATTCCTTGACCTTCCTTAAACTCCTCCTGCAGCTTTTACCTCCATCTGTACTATGCACAGTCGTGGACCATTCGCTCTTTAGAGCAGAGACCTTTTCTTTCCTATGCTCTTCCAAGAAAACCAACTTCTTTCCAGTGCTGTGAAAACAAGAGCGTTGAGACACTGCTTTGCAGTGTCTAGCACAGGGTAACAACTTGATTCTGGAAGAATACTTCTGGTATAACCACATATAATAATTATTCTGTTGCAGTTAAACTGCTATAATAAATTTCCAGTTAGACACATTATTCCAGAAAGAAATTCTGATAATCTGGTATAATTACTCCACTTCCAAATACGTGTAATGATGCCTAAATAACATCATGCTCGTTCTGGAACAAAAGACCTACACAGGAAGTAATACCAGCATTTAAAAAAATAATTCTGTATTGTTATGCCAAAAAAATTCATCACGTAGGGAAGACTGAAATGATTTGATCAGAATTACAGTAATATATATATCCTAACATTAGGCAAACATCAGCCTAATACACAGATTAAGAGCAGCTCATTAGTTATTCAAGATCTACTAGTAACTATGACTAACTAACACTTCTGATTATTTACTTTGAAAGCTAAGTATCTGAAAGACAAAAGCAGTATGCTAATTCAACCACCAAACCTCCAGGAAATGAAACCACATCTCAAATCACAACTTGGTGCGGTTTGAAATATGCAAGAGGCCCCTTTAACCACAACCAGCCCTGCCTCTCCTACTCACACAAAACAGGGTTCCTTTTCACTTATCAGAGGTCTCATGGCTCGTTCCCATTGCAAAACTCAGATTCCTGCTTCCAGAAACACAACTTTCACAACAGGCAGCATTTTGATTTCTTAGGATAAAGGTCTCATTTACCATCCATAGTATCAGTCAGGCCATGGCAATCCGTATGTAACGTTTTTGTGAAGTATGGGGTGTTTTACAGGTAAAATTTATACCAAATTACACACTGCATCTATCTGCCTTAAAAAAAAAAAAAAAAAAAAAAAAAATCCAATTTGCCTCCATGCATGAGCCTCAATGAGTACGAGAAATCTGAATTTGCACTTCTGGTTTCCTAAGAGAACATTCTACCCATTTTCTCTCTCCCTCCTCCCCCTCAGAAAAGCTTTGGAGGGTATCTATTAGCCCGGTATGTCAAAT